CCTGCCGCATCAGCGGTTGTGTAACCGGCAGCAAAAATTCTCCTGTCCCCGTGGGATGGTCGCGGGCTCGCAGGGCACCCTCCTGCCTACAGTGCCCGGGAGAGGAAGGTGCTGAGGAGAAACCTCCACAGAACGTTGCAGTCAGGAGATCCGTTACCGTGCCTGGCGATGGAAGAGAGTCTGGAAAGCGTGTCATGAGACAGACGATGCTAAACATAATCTGGCACACGGTGGCAATATTTTGAGATTGAGACTATTTTTGCAGCTCCCGATTGCAATGCTCAGAGCCATTTTATGTTTAATGAGCACCCTCTCAATGAGGCGCTTCTCCTCTGTGCTACTCTTCTGTGGTGAAGTCACGAAATTCAGCTGGAGGCTTTGTTGACAAACAGAATGATGTGTGGTTTTCTTGGGTCTCTTTTTGAGATGTACAGAAGAAGGACATAGCAAGCATCAAAGCTACAGGAGCAGTGAACAAAAATAAATGGCTTAACGCTGCCGTTACAGTGAATATGTACTCGATCAGGGATAAAATTGCATAATCCTGCCTGTCTGCCCTGTTGGCCAATACTTGAGGTTATGGATTATGGGCATATAGCTAAATGTCAGCAGCCTATTTCAGAATGAAAGAATGTGAATTCAAAGGAAAAGGCTTTTTCTTAAAGCGCTCTCATTAAACTGGAGAGGATTTGTTACCTCTGCTGATCGTGACTGCAGCAAGACTGCATAAGGACAGATTAATTCCTTTACATACCTTAGGCAGGGACTTTTTTGCAGTCCTTTTTTTGTTGTTTTTTTTCTTTATTCCTTTATTCTTTTTTCTTTATTTCTTTATTATTTATTTTTTCTTCATTCCTTATTCTGTATAGACTGCATCCAGTACTGGGAAGCTGATAGGCAGGCAGCATAGCTCACAGAAAATCTTGCGCTCTCGGGAAGCACTCAGCCATGTACCTTGTTCAGTTAGGCACCACGCCCTCTATTACTCAGCTGTACTAAACATCCCTAGGCTGTACCTCTCTGTTATATCTTTTAAAATCATCCTTTCCCATGCAAAGTTCAGATTCTATCATTCTATCTTGTGATCGTATTTTAGCAGTGCTTTACATCAATTTCAATAATGGTTTTTATAGCACCTCTGCGCCAGATGTCATCTGGGAGCGTTCCCGGCTCTTCTGGAGAGAACATGATTTACTATCTCCTCGCTGGTGTTGCTGCTTTTGGTGGTTTGTTTTATGTAAGTGTTTGGGAATGCAGCTGTTTGTGCTTTCTGAGTTGGCATGGTACAAGGTGTGTTCTGGGTTCAAGAATATAGTCAAGATGCAAATGGTCAATAGAATGTGGATGTTGTAGCATGTAATTAAATGCAGTCTAACTTAAAAATCAACTCAAGAGAACTAGGGAAACTGAATGCCTATTGCTTGCCTTGCTTGTTGACCTTGATATCTAATGCTGTTGTCATTCTTAGTGGATAACATACTTAAAACTATGTGAAATGCATGTGTCCAAAGATGGAGGTAAGGCACCTGCCTCTAACCCCTTGCCTCTTCTTATCAACCACAAACATTAAGAATACATCAAAGTGGGCAAGTCAGATGTGAAGTAAGCTGTCTGAACCCACAGCAGGAAGATTATGAACCTCATTAATTGAGGCACAAAGAAAGATGGGAATATTAATTACTTAGAAAAAGCATGTTAAAGTTTTGTGAACATCTACTTTTTTCAAGCTTTTCAGTAATCATTCTCTTCCCTGCATCTAAATATATCAGACTCTATATGAGTGTGATATATTTAGGCTTCACATCCCTAAAGCCTCCATTTCGTGGCTTCCTTCCACCCCTCCCTCCCCAAGATTTGAGATAGTGACTAATGGTACACATTTCACTCTCCCACAAAATAATCCTCTTGAAAGGTAAGTAGCTTCCACTTACTCAGAATATCAAATTTGTATGATTGCCTATCTGGAGGAATAAAAAATTCTCTTGCTGTTCCTTTTTTACCATAGTTTTTTGGTTTTTTTTTAAATCTGACTGTAATTGTCTTTTAAAATACTGTGTTCCATTCCTGAAATGCTACAGCCCTTGGAAAGCTGCATGGTATATTGTATTTGCTTTTTAATAGTGGAGAAATATGAAACATATAAATATGTTAGTATAGCAAAATAGATTATTTTTTTTTGTCTTGCTTAACATAATTTGATATGCCTTTTAAGATGAGCAGTAGCACCTGCTTAAAAACCCTTCTCTCCCTCTCCCCTGTTTTTCTTTGGTACCTTTGTAGGGACGTAGCAATAAGTTTAGGTGTAATTTCCTTTCAGGCCTACAGAGTAGTCAGTTCATCCCGCAGCAACTATATTGAACATATGAATATTCTTCACGAGAGAGCTGCGGGGCGGAAAAGCACAAGCAAGGGTGAGTTGAGCTCTTCTCTCTTGTTACCCGGGTACACAAGGATCTGGAACAGATTTCTAGATTGTTTAATCAGGCCTTAACCCTGTCCAAGTCCTTGTCTGAGCTCTGTGAGTGGGGGTAAAGACAAAGGTGGTTGTGCAGTGTTCTGTTACAAACCTACTTCTGCACAGATTTTGGGAACGGACATCATGTGGAGGCAGTGAATCTGGCCTGTGATCAGCCTGCAGGCAGCAAGTCTGACCTGTGACCAACCTGCAGGAGTCTCTTTGGATGGACAGAGTTGATGTGTGAACCATTAATTGTGTATTGGATATTTGCATTTGATTTACTGGAAGCTTAATGAAACTTGACTAAATGCATAATGCTGTCAAAATCAGTTTTGTTCTTTTGTTTGTTGGGGGGGAAGGAGATAACATCTTTTTCTCAGCCAACAGTTTGGCTGCAGGCCACATGCCATCAGGGAACACAGTTCAATAGGAAAAAACCTACATTTAAAAAAAAAAGTACTGTAAATTAGACCCATTTCTTGTCCCACAACTTTAATTTCATCCTTTTTAGTTTAGGATTAAATGAAAAGCAGACACCACCTAAATGTCTGGCAAATCCTTACTTAGCTCTTCATGCTTAAATAATTAGACCATGTTAGTTCAAATACTTGTAATGGAATGTTGTCTCTGTCTGCATCAATCAGTGTTACAGCAGCATTAATATAAAAGATAGGACTTTGGCAAGCATGGCCTTGCCAGGAAAAGCAGTTACAAGAAATGACTTCTTAAGGATATTTTTATTAAAAAATAAGCTATAGCACTTGAAGCAGTTCCGTATTTTTTCTGATGCTGACATCTAGAGAATTGATTTAATATATTTGCATGCACACAAAAAATCGATTTGGATAAAGTATGCTGAGTTTAAATTTTGTTTTCAATGTGAGAACATGCTTTGAATTGTCTGCCTCTAAAATTACCTCTTTTGAAGTTGTTAGTCTTGAAGTTCCGCAACAGAACCTTTAGTTTTAGAACTTTAAAATTACACATTTTAAGATTTAAAATGGTAAAACACCTTAATTTCCTTCCTGTTAAGCAGCTGGAAGCAATACAGTTTTTGAACTTACTTCCTTAAATGCTGAAAATTTGGCCACAATTTTCATGCAGTCCTTCCTTGTCTCTTTAAAAAAAAAAAAATCTAACCAGGACCAAAGTAGTTATTTTCTCTTAGTGACCTAGTCACCCGCTGTTGGGGGAAGAAGTGAGGGTTTCATTCTGACTATAACATAATCAGAAGAACATGGTAGGTGTGAAAGCATTAAGCAAACCTTCCAGGGCATCAAAATGATGTCAGTGTATTCCCTCTTTTCTCTTGAGGTTCACTTCTGCAAGGTACTGAGTTTTAACCCTATTCTGCCAAAATATTTCAATGGGGTACCCGCAGAGTCAGTGGTGCTGTTGTCTCCCTGAAGGCCAAACCTGTCTTTCCTGAGACTGGGGTAAGAGTACTCAGTGCTCTGTAACTCACTTAATTCTGACTTTGGGCACTCTCCATACATCCCATAATCTGATGCCTTGCGCTGCTTAGTAATTTACGTGAATGTCACAGCCAGTGGCAGATGATTGCTACCTTCCTTATTATTGATAGTAAGAAGTCCAAAACATTTTGGAGGCCATACAGTGAAAACAGTTGAAATTTATTTCTTGTATTATTTTCAATATTGGCCTTCTGAATAAATGCTCAGCCCAGAGTTTTTAATTGGATTTCTGAGTAGCTAACTCCAATTCACAATACAAAACTACCGTTGAATCAGCTCTTTTTAAAATCCTTCTCATTCCCAACTGTATCTTCCCAAAAGAGGTTTCTGTTCTTACTTTTCCTATGGAATCCTCTGTGTGTTTTCTCAAAAGAGTTAATGTCTCTCTTCCTTCCCTTTTTTCCTGTGCCCTGCGTAGTCATATTTTTGTGTATCTTGTCACAGAATGTTATCTTAGTGTTGCTTTTCCCAGAAGTGCCGCTGCAGCTTCTTTCCCTGAGCATTCTTTAGATTCAGTTAGTCCTTACACTTTTTCACAGTAAGCAGTGCTGTTAAGAGTGATTAAAAATTATGTTCTCAAAGTAATTTAATAGTTTTTTAGAGTCACATCAAATCAGGCTTAAAATAAGCTACAAAACAGTGCTGGATAGAAAAGCAGTATGCCAAAGAGCACATTCATGGCATATTTGCTGCATGTCCTGTGGTAAGAGAAGAACTTCCTGGCTGGAAGAACTTAATACAAGGGAGCAGCTGATCAGAGAGAGGCTTTCCTGATCCAAATGGTTTTCATGTTTTCTCATCCTCAGGAAAATTCTCCCCTTGTGCCCAAATCCCAAATGTCTGTTACAAAGAACTGCATGTAACAAACAAGGCCATCAAAACAAGAGAAACAATCAAATGCTATTCTAGGCTTGTTTGTTTATTAGAGGGTTGAAATTACGTTTAATGGTATTTTAATTAGTGATATCAGACATTTAAAAAAACCACAAACCAATACAACTAATAGCAAATTTTCTGTAGCTCTTCTTAACTGAAAGCTACTCTCAAATTAGGGAGGGGTTTAAAAAAGCTACTGGCAGAAGCCTGACTCGAAGTAGCAGTAGGAAATCTGGGACATCATTTGAACTACAAAATGATGTTTGCCTTGCAGAACGTTCTACTTGCTTATTTAGCAAATACTGTTTTGTCTTCCATTTGCATGTGTCTCCTTTAAACTTGTTCCTGATTTCCTTCTTGTTTAGGAATGACTTTTCTTTTTAACTTGATGCAAGCTGATTCAATCTTTCTAATCTATACTCTGCTTTTACACTTTCCAGACTAAAATACAAGGGAAATCTCTTTCCAAACCCGAGGAAGTTAAATACAAACAAAGGACAGTCGTTCACCATTGCGTACCTTGCAGCCTACCTTGGGATGACTTTATGCCTTCTATTGTAAAACTCCACACTTGTGAGACTTTAAAGGAACTGCCTATGTTTGCAAGGCCAAACCATATTGAGCTTATTACTGAATCTGCTTTGTAGAAGGCAGTTCTGAGATTGAGAAGCTGGCTGTTCTGAATGAATGCACTCTATATTTGACTGTCCAATAAAGTGTACTGGATGTTGAGCTTGGCTTGTTAGTCTGTTCTTTGTGTAATCAATTTAGGTTTTATTTTGAAATACAGCATTCTCTTAAAGGGACATGGTCAGGTTGCATAATACAAAGCTTTGATGTTTACTGAGCAGTGAGTAGACTCGTGCTGAAACCTGAACGCAAACAGATAGGCTTGCACTAGCACAAGAAAACCAAGCATTCAAAAGGATCTGTTTAGTTTTTAAACAGATACAAAAGAAGAAAATAAATTCTGACTATGTCTCTTTAAGCTCTTCCTTTTCCTTTCTATTCTCACTTAGTTTACACAGTATTACAAACTTTATTTCCATTTTTTTCACATGGTGAGTTGGTTCTAGTGGTAAACTTGCAATGAACACTTGGTCTATAACTTTCTTTTGTTAATTTGATCTTAGTGCATGTTTGCATGGTGGTTGTGCATCTCTGTTGCTTTGTGCTGTTTTTAATGACTTAGCTGACTTTGGAGTAATGCATGGTTGGGAAACACAGCAGTGTAGGCAAGTCTTGAAGAGACAGCTGGGACTTGTGAAAAGGAAATGGTCAGTCATAAGTGGTCATATCTCCAGTAAAGTAAATGCTGACCACTTAAAATCAGCAAGTTATTTTCCTGCTTAGATACACCTAGTTTCAGTAAGAGTCCCCTGTTTTATTCTGCCTCACAGATCTTACCTTTCTCACTTGAGTGCTTGGCTCTTGCAGTGGTCACAGTGCATTCCATACAGCTTTAAAGAAAGCGTAGGGAATGGGGATAGCAGAGTACCTGTGGCAGTGTAGAGCTAAGAGGTGGCACAAAACCCATCTGAAAACTCATCACTTGTTGGGCTCAATGTTGTTGTAGCTGTTGCCAGCCAAGTTAGACACCTGGAAAATAGCCCTGTGCAAACTGAAGCCACACCTTGGGTTGCAGTGCTTCTAAGCTGTGAGCCTGATGGATAATCATCTCCCTAAGAGCTTCTGAAGATGGTAGCAAATATCTTTTTCCCAGTGTGGTAATTCCGCTGCTGGGTGAGAACCAGACAAGAATCCCGTGCTGCCCACGAGCGCGTTATCACTGGCCCTTTCAGCAGAGTGGGTTTGGAGCGACAGTTGGGGTGGTCCTTTTTACCCTTCCCTGCACTCCCACCTCTTGCAGTCACTTGCTTTCAGCCACAGTTTATTTTCTTATTGCACTGAAGCAGTTATGAAACTCGGTAATTAAGAATATGGTTTCCTCTTCTTGTAAACATCTTTTTTGGTACCACATTAGATGATATGGGGGGGGATTAATTATTGATTTCCTGACTTGGTAAATTCTGATCTCAAAGATTAGCTTCCCATTTTAAATTTAAATGAGGAGGATAGTAAAAAGTAGTTGCTGATTTTGTGTTGCTTGCATGCACTTTACTCTCTTTATTGTATTAAATAAATCCTTAAAAGGTGATGAAGAAGAGACAGCTGAAGTTACTGAAGCAGAGACAGCCACGGAAGAGGCTGATGCAGTAGCTGCTGCTGGACCCGCAGCACAGGATGAGGGTGCTGGACCCGCAGCACAGGATGAGAGTGCTGGACCCGCAGCACAGGATGAGGGTGCTGGACCCACAGCACAGGATGAGAGTGCTGGACCCGCAGCACAGGATGAGGGTGCTGGACCCACAGCACAGGATGAGAATGCTGGGGTATCCCCAGACACTGGAGGCGAGGATGACTTACTGGCTCCAGAGGCATCACCTGCTGTGGAGGAAGCCCAGCAGGAAGCTGCTGCTAATTCAGAAGCTGCTGCTAATTCAGAAGCTGCTGCTAATTTGGAAGCTGCTGCTAATTCAGAAGCTGCTGCAGTGCAAGGTTAACTTATGAATGTGGTTTTTGCGCGGGGGTGTGTGTGTGTGTTGTGGGTTCTAAAACTCTGCCTCTTAAAAAAGAACATTAAGAACAAACATCAGTATTCCTAATGGAGTTTGTCCTGCAGTGAAAACTAATTCAAGTGTTGATATATCATGAGCATAAGGTAATTAAGTTTATTAAATCAGTGTCTCTAAAAGCATGCTGCCTGTGGCACCAGACTTGCTGTCTAAAACCAGTAGAATGAAATTTCTTTTACTACCTCATTCTGTTTCTCTTCTTTAAGATCTTACATTAGGGTGAGCATGTAGTATCAGTTAAACAGTTGTTTCAGTGACCTGATTCTTAAGAGTTTCTTAAGGAATCAAAACACTTTATTTCACTGGCCATTCCTAAGATATTCACACTAAACAATTACAGCTGTTCTGTCAATGTAACTTCAACAGAATTTTGTGTAGCAACCAAAATGTTGTCATGATCTCAGTGTTAAAGACATACTAGGCTAAAAATTTCAAAATTCAATAAAACATCAAATAGGTAAACACTTAAATCAATTAGTGGCTACATGTTCAGTATTTTGAACTGTCAGGTTGCTTGAAATATTTTGGTTTACTGTACATTTAAAAAATCACAATAATGCAAGCCTATCCGTAAATTGCACAAAATACAGGATTATAATTTAACTTGATTTTTTTAGCAAGTTTTTTTCTCTTTTTTTTTACTCCTAACCTGTAAGGATAGAACAATAGCTTATCCTCTTACCTCTTGGTTTGTTCAGCTGAATTTGGAAGGGACACACATAAAGCAATTTCTTGGTTGATAGGAAAGCAGCAAACAAATCTGGTGTCTTCAGTTAAAAACCAAACAAAGAAAATAACAAAAAACTTGCTGGCCTGTCATGAAAGAGAAGCTTCCCTCGAATTCTTGCTTTGGAAGGGAAGATTTCGGTGTGGCTGTAACAAGTATGAAAGCCACTGAAGCAGTTTTCAGCTTGACTTAAACATGGAATCTTTACAGCACACCTATGTTTGACTTCATTTGGGGAAACAAACATCTGCTTGAGGGGATATATCTAAAACATGGGTCTAAGTGAGAATAAAAGTGTTTTGAGCGCTAGTCCATGGGAGGTTGTCATTGCACCTGGGAAGGTATTGGCAGATTCTGGAATTATTTTTGCCTTGGTGACTCCAGTGAGGAATGGATGCATCTTACTGGCCTTTTTAACAAAGGAACTTGAGAGGCGGTGCAGCGCTTCACATGGCTGACTTTGCTGAAGTGGGATTTTAATTCATGTGTCAATAGCTGCTGTGCTTGTCTGCAAAACAATCCATTACAAATGACATTTTAAAACAATACTTGGTCCAACCTGCTAAAGGTGATACAGCTAACAAAAGTACAAGTAAGTATGTTTGTAGTGACAAAGTTGCTGTTTACATATACAAAATGTTAATAAGAGAGTAGTTAAAATACCTAGAGCATTAAAAATTTCAATTTCTATGAAATATGAGACCATTTCATTTGGAAAGGAAGTGGACTGGTGTATGTTAAAGTCAGTGAATGAGAGCTGTTAAGAGATTTAAAATGTCTTGCAGTGTTTACCTCTGTTGCTCCACAGAGCAATTGCAAAATTTCACTTTAAGGAGCGGGCATTTGCTTGTACCTAGAAGTGGTTCAGTATTCCTTTCACAGGAATATTTGTTAATTGTTGGATAGGGAAGGATCTTTTGTATGGAAAATACTCCTGCTGCTCCATTGAAGAGGAAGCAGCTGGGATCTTCCTTGAGAAACGTGCATAAGTGGATTAACCCCGAGAATCTAATTCTTGACACGGTGACTTCATGTAGTTAGTGGTCACCATTTCGTAAGGAGAAATATGTCTTGTAACTGTTAGTTACTGCTAGTGTTGACTGGAAGTGCAATTTAGAAATTACCCTTTTCTTAGATCTATTTTCTATGGCAACATACTTACTGAAGAAGACATCACTAGAACAACACTTCTGTTACGTTGATATTCATAAGGAATTCTGAGGGTCGCTTCAGGTGTCCCTTGTCAAATCTTGCTGCAGTGGTTCTCTCAAATTATTGTGAAACTTCTGCATGTTGTTTCAGCCCTGTTTCTTCCAACCTCTAATCAGGATATCGTGGATTTTCCAGAGCATTTCCTATCAAGCAGCAGAAGTTGTACATAGGTGAACCCTATGGATCTCATGAGTGAGGTTCCCCCCGGGGGCAAAGTCCGCTGTGGCTGCCGAGTCACCTGAGTCCTGCCCTGGCAGGTGACCTTTGCGTTGGGCTGCTCCTCTCCCTCCTCCAGGCCCCATCGGCAGCAGAGCAGCACAACTGCTGACGTGGTTCTTCCCTCGGATCTCCAAGAAATTGGTGGGGGCCTCTGGCTCTTGACCACGTGAAGTGTTTAACGAGCAGCGTGTGGTCTTGCACGCACAAGGTAGACCAGGATCCCTTTCCTTTCAGCCATGTGAAAGCTAGTTTCCATCATCGTGATAATTAAAATATAAGCAGATGGCATTTTGATGTGGGTCTAATTCTTATGGAGAAGCTGATCTATAACAGGGGACGACTTCCAGTATAAAAGCAGTGAGGGCTGGAAGGGCAACGATCATTCATTTGGGACACATGGGAAGAAAAGTCCCGAAAAAGAAAATCCCATGGCTTTGCTCTTTGAGTCTGAAGTAAATGGACAAATCAAGGTATTTTTAAAAGAGACTATTTACTTCAGAATCACGTACCAAATGTTAATGAGTGCACAGTCCCTCTCAATGTTCCATCCTGGTCATGGCAAAAAGGTGATGTAGCCTTTTCTTCAACAAATAGTTGAAGAAAAAGGTCCTCTGCTCTCCGTGTACCTCTTTGTTCAGTGTTTACCTGCACTACAGCTATTTGTGGGTTTTTTAAAAAAAATAATTTTACAATTAAAAACATTCTGGAAATACCTTTTAGTTTTGTATGCAACCACCTTCATCATTTGTGTTCTCTCCATTTAGAGGGAAAAAAAGTGTACCTACATTTTTCCTAAGGTAGAGAATTATTTTTCTTTCAGAACTGCCAAGGGAAATGCAGGCTTACTCTGAAAAAGAATACTTGTTTAAATAACTTTTATTAGTTTTATTGATAGTTTGATGTTACTTCTGTAGATAGATGAGGGTGCAAGTATTTTTATCGTTACCAGTAAAGCTCTGCTTTTTCAAATGCAATTGTTTCTTTTAATCTGTAAGACTATCTGTGATATGTTTGGAAGTGCAAGGTGCCAGTGGCCGTTTGTCTCCGGCTCCAGTATATATACATTATGTAGGGATACAGGTGATGTGAGTGTGTGCAAAACAACCCAGGCCCAAACCAAACAACAACAAACCTCAACCTTGGAGGTAGGTTCTTAATCAGGGTGATTTACAGTTTTAGAAAAGCAATTACAATTGTACTTGGCTCGAATTTTTCTCCTTGCCTCAATTTAAGCAATTTACAACCCACTACTAGTATGTGGAATTCTGTGGAATACTCTTGCCAAAAAAGGTACTGTGCCACGTAAGTCTGTTCCCAAGGTTTTAGCTTCCTCTAAATTCTAGTTTTCTGGATCTTTTTATTACTTGAGCTGTTTCACTGTCACTCTTGGTTACTGCCTGATGCTACTAGGTTTCCTGCTGTTCTCCTTGTAGTCTAGGGACCATAAATTAAGATCAATTAGATAGAACAAATGCTGTAAAATGCACAGGTTGGCAAGATGCTATTGGGATTAGGCAGTGCTGTTGCATCCGCGACTTGCAGTTCTTGGATTGCTGCTATAAACTTTTCTCTAACTCTGGTACTAGGGCATGAGGTTTGGGCATTATCAACTGGAATAGCAAAAGCAATGAGCCCCAAACCACGCTTTCTTGGACTCCTGGCTTCTGTAGCCTAGGTTCATTTCGCATTTTGTAAGTACTGAAGGATGTGGTCTCTTTGGTTGTTATTTCAAACACCGTTTGGGTGAGTAACTAGGTTTGGAGAGGATTAGTGTGTGAATGTGCCAGTGGTTTCTGTGTTAAGCTTCGAATGGCATTACAATGCCAGTTGTCTGCAGCCTAGAGAAACAAATCTAGGCTGCACTGGGCAGGAGCTGCTGCTTTCTGGACAGGACTTTTGCTGACCCGATTGCACAGCGATGCCAAGCCGACAGAAAGACCCGACGTGATCGCTGTACGTTGTTTTTGCTTGGTAAGTTACCGAACTGGGTACGTATTCAAGTGCTCTGACACTGGGTGTATTTTGAAGGTTGCTGAAAAGTCCTCAGAGTAATTTGCAATTGCTCATACTTACAGACCTTGTCCCTTATGCTTATGCTGCTTATTCACAGTGGCACCTCCTGAAAATAACTACAGGCGGGGGTTTTTTCTCGCTTTTATAGATCAGAAGCATCTCATAACAGGCCTATTATCTGCCATTTTCATATGTATAATGTCATGGCATGAAGTGGGTCTCTAGGTGTAGATTGGTGTAACAGAAGACAGAATTAGGGAAGGTATTCATGTCTGATGAAATCTGTGCTTAATTACCAACTGCTATCAAGGTTTTCTATTCTGAATCTCCTCTTAGAGGATTCTTTTCCTCTTCATTGATGATGATGGACTAAGCTCACTAAATTAGGCTCTAGAAAGTTGAATTAGGTGAATATTATCCTACTGGGGAAGCATCCTTATCTGTGGAACTTCTGTTGAGTATTTCTGATTCACATCACTTTCTTTATCTGTCCCTTGAGCCACTGCTGTGTTTATCTCGTATCTCTCTGATTGCCATACACAGGCCACTAGTCTCTTATCTCTTCCTCCTGTTTTTCCTTCATAAAACTGAGCTTGTGGATGAGTTGTCATGGTGTAACTGGAAAATCTCTGTAGGAAGAATGTGAACAAGACTTAGAAAAGGCTTCTGTAAAAGTTGTGAGCATGTGAAAACAGAAGCTGGTAAATGGAGAGGTTGTTCAGTGTTGAACACCCTAGCTGAAAAGAGAATTT